AAGAGTTCCGGATAATTAAAAATTCATTTTATCTTTTTTGTTTAATACCTTGATTTTTTTTACATAAATCGATTCATTCATTCAATCAAGTCCTACACAACGTCTCACGAATTTGGTCTTTTTCTTACAAAACTTATATTCTTTTCATGTTTTCTTTTTTTGAAGAATAAATGTTGCCCCTTTTTTTATTTTTTGTCGTTTTTTTGTTTGTTTTTGTGTGTCTCATTGACGTATAAGACAACCGGACTACCCCTTTCTTCATATTTAAAAACATACGAGATGACATCAATACCAATTCATGACACAAAATAACTAAGTTAAACTTACAACAAAAGAAAGATAATGAACATCGCTTTTATGGTCTACTTAATATCGAAGTCAGAATGTGGTCTTTGTAAAGATGTTGTAAATTAATCAAAAACAACAAAAAACAAACTAATTTGAATGTTTATATTGGAAAAAGTAACGTTGTGTAAATCATTACAATTATTTTATTTCAAATGAATATCAAGCTGCTGCATTTTTCTGCTGCGAGCAAATTTTGACTTTTGACCGCATTTTAAAAATTGATTTTCTTGTTGTAATCCTGTTGGAAGCTGCGCTGTGTAGTATATTTTTCTTGTATTGTTTAATGCCAAATATAGTCAAGACAGACAAAAAAAGTTGGAAAGTTACATGTTAAAATACAGAATGGAAATGGGGAATGTTTCAAAGAGACAACAACCCAACCAAAGAGTAAATAAAACAGCCGAAGGCCACCAATGGGTCTTCAACACAGCGAGAAAATCCCGTACCCGAAGGCGCACTTCAGCTGGCCCCTTAACAAAAATGTGTACTAGTTCAGTGAAAATGGACGTCATACTAAACTCCTAAACAAATAAATGAACTAAAATTAAAAAAACATACAACTTGAAGGCTAACAAAGGCCAGAGGCTCCTGACTTGGGACAGGAGCAAAAAATGCGGCGGGGTTAAACATGTTTAGTGAGATTTCAACCCTCCCCCTATAACTCTAGACAATGTAGATTAAAAAAACACACAGCAATACACCGCTACATATTGTGCCAAAGTCGGGCTGGGGAGAGTGCATGTTATACTGATTTAACCCACTGGATTGTGTGTCTGCACCAAGTCTGTCCAGGGAGGGATTGCATGTTAAACTGGATTAGCCCCACTAAATTTTTAGCCAAACGTCCGGCTATCCGGGTTTTGTGTTGTTCATTGTTGATTAAACGTCTTTTTTTACTATTGACAGGACTCGATGGTCTTTGTTGTTGTGGTCTCTTTTAATTTTCCTACCTTTTATCTTTTTATGTATTACTGTCGTATAACAGATCTAAAGCCGTTTAATTACGAAACTATCTGCAATATATTTAATAGTCCTAAACATGCATGACAAATTTGACACTAGACGTAACGCAAACAAAAATCAATACACCAATGTATCTAAAGTCACAATTGATACAACTTTATATAAAAATAAGGAGATGTGGTATGATTGCTAATAAGACAACTATCCACAAAAGTTCAAATGAAGTGGATGTAAGCAATTATAGGCAACCGTACGGCCTTCAGCAATGAGAAAAACCCATACCGTATAGTCGGCTGCAACAGTCCCTGACATGAAAAATATGAAACAATTCAATTGAGAAAGCCTACGGCCTAATCTACAACAAAACAATTAACGAAAAACAAATGTTCGTCTATATGTTTTGCATTTGCACACTTTTTAAAGTTGATCATGCATTCGTTCTAAAATAGAATTTTTACCAGATAAAAGTTAAAAGATTACATATTTGGACAACAGCAATTGTTAAATCGCTTTGACGTCCTAAAAAAGATAATAATCAACACAAGCATTGTAACTTTTAAAGCCAGTTAAATCCTTATTCTGTTGCTGAAAGAACGTGCGATATCATAAAAATTGATTATCAAAACATAACAAAAACACATGTAAAGAACGTTTAAGTATTCAATATAAATCAAAACACAAAGGTTATTCCTGATTAGTTTTTTCAAATTATTTTATTTAGGCGTTGAGACCCTTCGGTGACCCCACAGTTTAAATGTCAATAATAAGTACGTCGTGAGCAGTGGGCGTTACAGACGAACGTTCACCTAATATGACCCAGTCAATGGGATATTTTAGCGCGCCAATCAATGGTCTCGTCTACACTGTTATGCACATGACTCTATAACTATAATTATGGACAAAGGAAGATGAATCCAATTTTAAATATTACTTTAACAAAGACATCATTGTTATTTTCGCGTGCAGTAAAATTGGTACCGTTAATGTTATTTAGATCAAATACTAGATTCATGCACTATGCATAACTTATCTTAGTTTCTTGATTATAAGAACGGATTTAGACATACACGTAATTGTATAGCTTTAATATCTGAGAACATATTAATAAATTTCTTGAAATGTTCATAGATAGGATGTATATAGAATGTTGTGCTCAATGAAATGTTTTTTTTTAATCTCAAAAGTAGTGATAAAGCCGGGAAAATTATTAACTATCTATCCAACCACATAATGGTTTTGGTAGAATTGACGTAACCTTTACCCCAAAAAAGCTCTTTTCACAACAACTAAAAAATATTCAGTTACATTTTTTTTAAATTCGTCTAAAAAAAATGAGATAGTGTATGATTGCCAACGATACAAACTATTCACAAGAGTTCAAATGACGTCGATATTAGTAACTATAGTTTACCGTACGGCCTTCAACAATGAGAAAAACCCACACCGCATAGTCAGTTGTAAAAGGCTAAGACATGAAAAAATGTGAAACAATTAAAACGAGAAAACTAACAGGCAATAACAATACTTAAGAAAAACAAATATGATAGACATAAACCAACGACAACCACTGATTTACAGGCTCCTGACTTGGAACATGCACATAAACAAGTGGCAGGGTTAACAATCAATGTTCTGTGAGCGCTCAGTCCTCTCCCTAATCTGCTACAATGATGTAGCAGAACAACATAGGACCAAACTGTAAAATACTTTTCAAATGGCTTGACTCAATAGATCGGGACGAAGCACAATAAATATAAAAACCATAGACACTAAGCACCGATATAAGAGTAATCGCAGTTACTGGAAGCTAGTTCAAAGCTAATTATTACTAATAAATAAATAAATTTCTCACAGACTAAAGTATCAATCAGTACACATAAAACGGATTAAGTGAAAAGACGTCATAATCAGTCTGAAAAACGCATGACCTGGTGTAACTATTTGCTTCGCCTCACCGTGCGAAGCTATTATTTTCATTCGGTATTCATGCCATCTTGAAATTATTACGTAACAAATATCGGTTCTCATTGGTTGCCTGTGGGTGAGGGAAAGATTCTATTGGCTAGAATGAGATATAGAATTGGGAACATGTCACAGACAGGAGAAGATATTAAATACGGTCATAGTTACAGTATGCGTATTCAAGTTCCGATCTGATATCCGATAAATGAATAATTTTGCCTTTACTGGTTTACCTTGCTATATAATGTCGGATCAATTCGTGTTGATAAATTAGAAGAGGGACAAAGATAAACAAGTTTCTGAGTGCTCATCTGACTATATATGCACATACACCAACACTCAAATTACATAGAACCGCCAGTGATCTTCAAAAAAATTGTCAGAATACGTGTATTGCATGTTATGAAACAAAATTATATATAAAAATTTAAAAAACAGCTACATCCCCGAATTGTGCATTAGAATTATTGTGAGAAGATCTGAAATATATATGCACATAATAACAACTAAGTAACATTGCTGTGAAAGAAAACATGCACAAGGATATCATATGCAAATAAATATTGCGTCAAAATTGATTGTTTAAAGTCCCATAACTTTATGGAACGACAAACTATATAAGCGAGTCTAGATTCGTCAAATACTAACAACAGTGTAAAGTTTGTAGTTAATCGAAACTTTCTAGATCAAAGAGTATGCCATGTAGAATAATACCATAAGTTCCATAACTGTGGAATGACAAATCATAAATTTAAAAAATCAAACGGTATCTCTGGCATGACGAAACATACGAATTTTAAAATCATAAGGAAGTTTGCGTCTATCAATCCTAATGTTCCGTTTTAGTTTCGTGGGAATTGGTTAAATCAAGTTAAAGCTTTTGTAGGAAGTATTCATGGACAAATTACAGTATACCACAACACACCTATCTAGACGGTTTATATAAGACCACACTTATGAGAATATGCACAAAAGGGATAAATAACACCTTTCTCCTACTTAAGCAATCACATTAGCCACATCTTACTTGAAATTATGATAAAGCGACGCACTCCAAAGCTTTTTTGAAAGCTAAAACTTGTTCATAGATTATGTTCATTGAAATCTTCAACTTGACTACAGACACGAGTATAGCGAACCAGTTGGTATATGAATACCGTAAGAAGGAAAAAGGAACATCACGGTCCAAAAAAGTAAAATAAACAATAAACAATAGAGAACGAAAACTGTCCCTTTTGTTGTAATTTTTTGTATAGAGTTTCTCATGTGAAACTGAAATACCTAAGTCTAGGAAAGGGCAGTTATTGCTGTTAATATTTGATATATTTAAGGTAAGTTCCTGTGGTTAAATTTCGGCAGTATTTTTGAAAGAAATCTTGATAATTTGACAAAAAATATCATTAAGATAACGAAAGATGTTCTTTAATTTATCTTCATTTAAACGGAGTTTAGATGGGTTTTTAATAACTTTGGTCATACACTGTGATTCATAACAATACAGGACCAAGTCTGCTGTTCAATGGTTGCAATATAGTTTATGTTAGTCCATAGTTTCTTTTAAGTTCAGTTTAATCAATATGTAATACTTGTATTGCAATATCAATAATGATCAACATATCTGACCTGCAAGAAATCTCATAACATTAAACGAAAGTTATGTTGCTTTTGAAACATGTGTCCATTGAGCTTCTTTGAAGAGGCACTTGCTACAGAATAAAACAACACAATTTCCGCCGCCAAATATCCGTATGCCAAATTTCATTCATATTCAAAAGACTTAGTGTATTATCACTGTAATGCTCATAAGCAATGAGATTTGTAGGATTAAAAATTCGCCATAGGATGATGTCTGTTGTGTCCATTTTGTAAACGTTCCATACGCTCAATAACGTCATCCACCATAGTAAAAAAAATGTCTTCAATCGATGATACGAGTCTTGTATAGACAAAGATTAGAATTTCTTCCTCATGTAAGGGGGAAGATCAGTTGTTCCTCATGTAAGGGGGAAGATCAGTTGTTCCTTGTGTAAGAGAGAAGATTAGTTGTTCCTCATGTAAGGGAGAAGATCAGCTGTTCCTCATGTACGGGGGAAGATCAATTGTTCCTCATGTAAGGGGGAAGATCAGTTGTTCCTCGTGTAAGGGGGAAGATCAGTTGAACAGAACATTCAAGGAACTGACATAGACGAGAATTTTACAAATGTCTTGACGGAAAAAAATACGTTACCTTGAAAACTGACATACCAGGCTCCGATACATTTGCAACTTTTTCAAGGGTACACCATTCACAGAAAAAAAGATGCGAATGTCTATTGATTTCAATTTACTGATCCATGTATAAAATTTCCTATACTAAAAGCATAATTTGTCATTTTATAGTTATTGCATAATTTAAAATTTTAGTAAAACTGCACTTATTCTCACTTTTCTATCACAAAACTGTCAATTATGTTAGCCAAGTTTACCATTCCATAGTTAATATTGTCTTTGATACGTTGCGGAAGCTGGTGGATTTTGTTATCTGAACTTGCGATCGCTTTTTCGAAATCTATTAAACGTACTTTAAAACCTGCTTGAACATTCTGGTCGTCTATATCCGTCTTCTGTATCGATGATGCGACGTCTGTTTTCTTACAGTCGTAAAAGAAAAAAAGTGAAATGGAAAGAAACACGAAGTCTGTTTGATTTAAAATTGCAGTATGTATATTTCTAACTGTGTTAGATATATTGTGTAGGTTTGTGTTGGAACTGTTTCCGAAGAAAGTTCTTAGTACTTCTACTGCCTGATTGTCATTGATGGACATTCCAAAGTACTTGTTGTATTTCTCCAGTTTTCCGGTTTCCCGGTGATACACCTGAAACAACACAAAATAATTGTACTTAACGTTATCTACGTTTTCCTTTCTTCTATGATCAGTGCAGCTTTTAAGTGAACATTTAGTGTGAGTTAGTGTGTAAAGGTTAGAGAGAACGGGAGGGTATATTGTTTGGTCTAGTTCGGAAATGGTCTTAAGCGTGAGCTTGATAATTCCATTTCCTGTATGGAAGTCTATTTTATTTTTGACGAAAAATGAAGCTTCCATATGATATAATCAAATGTCCTTTTCGTTATATCAATTCTTACTTATGCAGTCATAAACACAGCAAACTTTTAACTGTTGAACGAGTACTAGAATATCATAAATGAAAAGGATTTTTTTTTCAAAGAAATGGCAAACAGGCTTTTTTTCGAATTCTTGGAATCCGCATGCGATAATAATATATCAAATTTATGTTTCATTTGACAGTTCTAATGGATACGTCACCTGTGACTTATACATGTATCTACTGGTCCCAGAAATCGCTTAAAAGTCAAACAATATATATTGGTCTTTTTTTATTTTCATATTTGTATTGTAAAATACTACATAAAAAAACATTCACATTTATGACTCGAGCATCTCTGCAGAAATTTCTAACATAATCGCAGAGAGTGCACAATTATCTTGCATAGATAAAATATACGGAAAGAACAAACATGTTGACAGATGTATACGAACTCAATAAATGTGTTTTTTTTACATAACATAACGGAACACCAATAAGGCATTTTATCGGTTCGTTTACACCAAGCAACCATTTCTGGGTTTACCATTTCTGAATATGAAACTGATGAATGGATTCAATTCTTTACTTTTATTCCTAATTATTCCCCTTCTCTCTGTTTGATCTTTTTCATTTTGATTGTCATTTTTTTCTCTTTTCCTGGAGTATACTTCAGAAGACAACTCCGTCAAGAATTTCCTTTTCAATTCATACAACTGATTTCGTTTGCTTTTACATTTAAGCTATTTCTTTTTTAAATTTATTGCTGATGCACGGGTATTTATTATAATGTTTGTTTATTAAATGAAGAAGACCTTTGTAAGTTGGATCAATTTGTGTCCGATTCTTTTGTGTAACTCGCAATAAAATATGTTTAAACTTACTAATGCATGGATATAAATATAAGTATGATAGACATAAATATACATGTATACCTGCATTCCACATATCCGAAACCCCATACTCAAACTCGTTGAGTTGTTGCTCTTTTGTTCCAGTTTCTTTCTTTTATGTTCATCTTCGCATTGTCCGTGATAATATCTACATAATTTAATGTCTAAGGCACAAGGTCGTTCAAAATCTGCCACCAGGTTATCGAACATAAGGAATTCTTAATGTTAAGGAAACTAATGAAAGTACGATTTGTGACAATGACAAACTAAATGTACAAAGAGGAAAGCATTTAGTGTTTCATATCCACGTTGGAAATAAAAAAAAAATAATTATAACACTTCCTTAGCTAAAAGGGATTGTATGTCCCGCCTATACGAATAGAAAGGAGCATTATGTTTTTACTGGTCTGTTCTTCCCTCCTTCCGTCCGTTCTGTATCAGGTTAAATGTCGGTTTAAGGTAGGTTAAAATTTTGGTCTGAGGTAGTTTACTGCGAAGTTGTGGCAGCTTGAAACTTAGTATTTGTAACAGCCACTATGTTCCGTCAGTTACTTTGTTCCGGCGGAACTTTTCAACTAGTTATTTCGTTCCGATGGAACTTTCCAACTAGTTGTTTTATTCCGAGTGCAGTCGAAAAGTTCCGGAAAAAAGTAGCTAGTTGTAAAGTCCCAGAACAATGTAGCTAGTTGAATAGTTAACCGTAACCCTAACCCTAACCCTAACCTAACTCTAACCCTAACAAAGAGGAACTTTGTGACTAGTTGATAAGTTCCGTTTGACTTTTGTGGCTAGTATCTTTGATCCCCTTTCAAAAGGTTCAAAGATAATATGTTGCGCTTTTACTTTGCATCAATTCTCCAAATGGAACTTTCTGCCTGGTTGATAAGTTCCGTTGGAACTTTTGGGCTAGTTTGTTAGTTCCGGTTTTGACTAATTTGGCAAAAAGGAACTTTCTAACTAGTTGATATGTTCCGTTGGAACTTTTCATCTAGTCACTTTGTTCCGGTGGAACTTTTAAACCAGAGGAAGAACAAAGTAACTAGTTAATAAGTTCCTCCGGAACTTTTCGGCTAGTTAGTTCTTTCCGCCAGGAACTTTCCAACGTCGGAACAAAAGAGCATTTACATATACACATGACGGGTGCCACATGTGGAGCAGAATCTGCTTACCCTTCCGGAGCACCTGCGATCACCCCCAGTTTTTGGTGGGGTTCGTGTTGCTCAGTCTTTAGTTTTCTATGTTGTGTTTTGTGTACTGTTGTTTGTCTGTTTGTCTTTTTCTTTTTTAGCCATGGCCCTGTCAGTTTATTTTCAACTTATGAGTTCGAATGTCCCTTTGGCATATTTCGCCTCTCTTTCATTATGAAATGAACTTTTAAATATATATATATATCAAATCAGGGTTTGGACGAAGATTTCACTGTTCAGATAACATGGAAATGTGATAGTGTTCTACGGACACATGTTCATGGTTTTACTTATTTCTAAAATCAATGTCTTCTCCATACATTGTCGACTTATTATTTTTAATTGTACGATATTTAACTATTTTAATGGGCTTCATGATGATGCATTATATAATTTTTCTGATAGTGTTGTTTGGTCAGTTGGAAGTCTTTTTTTCTCAAGTCATTGTGCTATCCGTTCCTTTTCTACATATGACTGATTGTTTTCTTGTACGTCATCCCTAAGGACCAAGACCACTTTGAATTACAAACATACAAACTTCATACGAACTTCAACTTTTTAAACAACCGCAAAGTTTATGTGATATTTGCCAACGTTTCTAAATGCAAGAGATAACCTGGAATGTGAGTTGTTTTTTTGTTTGGTGGGGGGGGGGTATGTTTTATAATGTGGGTATTTGGGGGGTTTTCATGTTTTATAATGCATGTGTAGAAAAAATGATTTATTTTTTGACAAATTGAAAAACTCGCTTGCTAAAAAATGTTTATTATTCAACATACCCGTGCCTCTTGCAATGGAGGCTCTTTTCTTCGGGATCACTTTGAAGTTTGACAAAAGCCAGTTGAAATTGAAAAGGCAGAAAAAAAACTTTTTATTTTTTTAATGCGATAATTATATGAAATTTCATGCTCTTTTTATAAATGTCACTTATTATAGAAAGAACGTTAGTATTTGCTTTCCATATACTAGGTCACTTTTATTGGACATTGAAATAGATTATTAATCAGACACCGTGATTTTTTTCAAGAACTTAAAAATAATTAGTATGAAAAAAACCTTTATTTTTATATACCTAAATTAATTTTTAATAACGTTTTTATAATAATGCATTTGGTTCCTGCTACTGGTAACATTAGCTTAAAAGATAAGTCACCAAGATGTTTCACATTTGTTTCTAAATTTTCTGATTGAAAGTTCATCAAGTAACAGTAGGTTTGGGTTTCGGTCGGTGTTAGAAAATTGGGAACATTTGAAAAATGTTACTATTTTATACTACCCGTTCAACATGTAACCAAGTTCAAGCTCAAAAGTAACTCTACCCCAACCTTTCTATATCTTGTCTGAATTAAGAGTCAATGATGGACTGGTTTAATAATTAAGGGTCTGAATTGGGGACATCCACTTCATTCAAGTCCCATTTTTGTATTTATCATCTAAGTCCATTGTTCTTACAATTGTTATCCTCAAATTGAAAAACAGAAATTGACTTATATGTTTACAGCTGATGAGAAGCAGTTTGTAATTTATTTACATTGTAATTTTTAAATGGCTTCCGAACAAGATCCTTAATTTCATTTCTTAAAATTCTTCTCGTTTTTAATGATTACAACAATAAAAATATACGCCAGAGAAGGAAGTGATAATAATTAGAGTTTTATTTGTCGGTGCATTTTGTATTTCTTGTGACATGATCTCGCACTGAAGCACAGCACATTGTAGTGAAGTTAGTCTGTAAAGAGAACTAGTTGTATTCAGATGGGGATATGGTATTTATATCCCGGAGAAAAACATTTCAGCAAATATACTAATCGTTAGTGTATTCAGACGGGGATGTGGTATTTATATCCCACAGAAAAACATGTCAGCAAATATGCTAATCGTTAGTATATTCAGATGGGGATATTGTATTTATATTCCGGAGAAAAACATTTCACCAAATATACTGATCTTTAGTATATAAATTATGTTATTGTACTAAACTAGGATTGCAATTTCATCGGACAAATTCGATATCAGACGGTTTTTGTGTACTGTTTAGGTCTATTAACTTTGATACTTGTCGACTTTGTATATATCTTGCTCCAAAAATTTGGGCAATCACAAAGAAAGTTTTTTTCTCAGTTTGCATTAACTTGCTCCATTACTTACAATCATGTTCAGGTGCATGTTATTTTTGGTAGATCCAGCGATACATCAACACTTTTGGTACAGATTTACTTTTCTTAAATCATACTAAAGGATACTTTCATTTTTGTTATCCTTCCATAAAGCCCCTCCTTCAATACAATGATTCAGACGTGACTGACTCCAACTTCCTTCACCAATGCCACTGAATAAAATAAAATGTCATAGTTATATTACTGACAATTTTATTTACAGCGAAATTCGAAGGACTAACTCATATGCAAAGATCGATCTTTGCTCCTACATTGTCAACTTTATAGAGAATAGTTGTAAATTAGAACATTAAAATTATAAATTTGGTAGTTTGGATTTTTTTAAACTTCTACGGGATTGAATAATCTTTTCTACATATTGTATTAAACAAGAAAGGTATACAAATGGGTAATCTAAGTCATAGTCAAGAAAGACAGACAACATCATGGTCAAAAGAAAGACAGACAACATCATAGTCAAAAGCAAGACAGACAGCATCATGGTCAAAAGAAAGACAGACAGCATCATGGTCAAAAGAAAGACAGACACCATCATGGACAAAAGAAAGACAGACAGCATCATGGTCAAAAGAAAGACAGACACCATCATGGACAAAAGAAAGACAGACAACATCATGGTCAAAAGGAAGATAGACAACATCATGGTCAAAAGAAAGACAGACAACATCATGGTCAAAAGGAAGACAGACAAAATCATGGTCAAAAGAAAGATAGACAACATCATGGTCAAAAGAAAGACAGACAGACATCATGGTCAAAAGGAAGATAGACAACATCATGGTCAAAAGGAAGATAGACAACATCATGGTCAAAAGGAAGACAGACAAAATCATGGTCAAAAGAAAGATAGACAACATCATGGTCAAAAGAAAGACAGACAGACATCATGGTCAAAAGGAAGATAGACAACATCATGGTCAAAAGGAAGATAGACAACATCATGGTCAAAAGGAAGACAGACAAAATCATGGTCAAAAGAAAGATAGACAACATCATGGTCAAAAGAAAGACAGACAGACATCATGGTCAAAAGGAAGATAGACAACATCATGGTCAAAAGGAAGATAGACAACATCATGGTCAAAAGGAAGACAGACACCATCATGGACAAAAGAAAGACAGACAACATCATGGTCAAAAGGAAGATAGACAACATCATGGTCAAAAGAAAGACAGACAACATCATGGTCAAAAGAAAGACAGACAACATCATGGTCAAAAGAAAGACAAACAACATCATGGTCAAAAGGAAGAAAAACAGACAACATCATGGTCAAAAGAAAGACAAATAACATCATGGTCAAAAGGAAGATAGACAACATCATGGTCAAAAGGAAGATAGACAACATCATGGCCAAAAGAAAGATAGACAACATCATGGTCAAAAGAAAGACAGACAGATATCATGGTCAAAAGGAAGATAGACAACATCATGGTCAAAAGGAAGATAGACAACATCATGGTCAAAAGGAAGATAGACAAAATCATGGTCAAAAGAAAGATAGACAACATCATGGTCAAAAGAAAGACAGACAGACATCATGGTCAAAAGGAAGATAGACAACATCATGGTCAAAAGGAAGATAGACAACATCATGGTCAAAAGGAAGACAGACAACATCATGGTCAAAAGGAAGATAGACATCATCATGGTCAAAAGAAAGACACACAACATCATGGTCAAAAGAAAGACAGACAGACATCATGGTCAAAAGGAAGATGGACAACATCATGGTCAAAAGAAAGACAGACAACATCATGGTCAAAAGGAAGATAGACAACATCATGGTCAAAAGGAAGAAAGACAGACAACATCATGGTCAGAATAAAGACAGACAGACATCATGGTCAAAAGAAAGACAGACAGACATCATGGTCAAAAGAAAGACAGACAACATCATGGTAAAAAAGAAGATAGACAACATCATGGTCAAAAGAAAGACAGACAACATCATGGTCAAAAGGAAGATAGACAACATCATGGTCAACAGAAAGACATACAGACATCATGGTCAAAAGAGAGACAGACAGACATCATGGTCAAAAGAAAGACAGACAGACATCATGGTCAAAAGAAAGACAGACAACATCATGGTCAAAAGGAAGACAAACAACATCATGGTCAAAAGGAAGATAGACAACATCACGGACAAAAGAAAGACAGACAATATCATGGTAAAAAGAAAGACAGACAACAAAAGTAACATAATGGTCAAAAGGAACACAAACAACATCATGGTCAAAAGGAAGATAGACAACATCATGGTCAAAAGAAAGATAGACAACATCATGGTCAAAAGAAAGACAGACAGACTTCATGGTCAAAAGGAAGATAGACAACATCATGGTCAAAAGGAAGATAGACAGCATCATGGTCAAAAGAAAGACAGACAACATCATGGTCAAAAGGAAGATAGGCAACATCATGGTCAAAAGAAAGACAGACAGACATCATGGTCAAAAGAAAGACAGACAACATCATGGTCAAAAGGAAGATAGACAACATTATGGTTAAAAGGAAGAAAGACAGACAACATCATGGACAAAATCAAGACAGACAGACATCATGGTCAAAAGAAAAACAGACAGACATCATGGTCAAAAGGAAGATAGACAACATCATGATCAAAAGGAAGATAGACACCATCATGGTCAAAAGAAAGACAGACAACATCATGATCAAAAGGAAGACAGACAGACATCATGGTCAAAAGGAAGATAGACAACATCATGGTCAAAAGGAAGATAGGCAACATCATGGTCAAAAGAAAGACAGACAACATCATGGTCAGAAGAAAGACACACCATCATGGTCAAAAGGAAGACAGACAACATCATGGTCAAAAGGAAGACAGACAACGTCATGGTCAAAAGGAAGATAGGCAACATCATGGTCAAAAGAAAGACAGACACCATCATGGACAAAAGAAAGACAGACACCATCATGGTCAAAAGGAAGATAGACAACATCATGGTCAAAAGAAAGACAGACAACATCATGGTCAAAAGAAAGACAGACAGACGTCATGGTCAAAAGAATGACAGACAGACATCATGGTAAAAAAAAAGACAGACAACATCATGGTCAAAAGGAAGATAGACAACATTATGGTCAAAAGGAAGAAAGACAGACAACATCATGGACAAAATCAAGACAGACAGACATCATGGTCAAAAGAAAAACAGACAGACATCATGGTCAAAAGAAAGACAGACAACATCATGATCAAAAGGAAGATAGGCAACATCATGGTCAAAAGAAAGACAGACAGACATCATGGTCAAAAGAAAGACAGACAGCATCATGGTCAAAAGGAAGACTAACAACATCATGGTCAAAAGGAAGACATACAACATCATGGTCAAAAGGAAGATAGGCAACATCATGGTCAAAAGAAAGACAGACAGACATCATGGTAAAAAAAAAGACAGACAACATCATGGTCAAAAGGAAGATAGACAACATTATGGTCAAAAGGAAGAAAGACAGACAACATCATGGACAAAATCAAGACAGACAGACATCATGGTGAAAAGAAAGACAAACAACATCATGGTCAAAAGAAAGACAGACAACATCATGGTCAAAAGGAAGATAGACAACATCATGGTCAACAGAAAGACAAACAGACATCATGGTCAAAAGAAAGACAAACAACATGGTCAAAAGAAAGACAGACAACATCATGGTCAAAAGAAACACAGACAACATCATGGTCAAAAGGAAGACAGACAGACATCATGGACAAAAGAAAGACAGACAACATCATGGTCAAAAGAAAGACAGACAACAAAAGTTACATAATGGTCAAAAGGACGACAAACAACATCATGGTCAAAAGAAAGACAGACACCATCATGGACAAAAGAAAGACAGACACCATCATGGTCAAAAGGAAGATAGACAACAGCATGGTCAAAAGAAAGACAGACAACATCATGGTCAAAAGAAAGACAGACAGACGTCATGGTCAAAAGAATGACAGACAGACATCATGGTCAAAAGAATGACGGACAGACATGATGGTCAAAAGAAAGACAGACACCATCATGGACAAAAGAAAGACAGACAGACATCATGGTCAAGAGAAAGACAGACAACATCATGGTCAGAAGAAAGACACACCATCATGGACAAAAGAAAGACAGACACCCTCATTGAAAAAAGAAAGACAGACAACATCATGGTCAAAAGAAAGATAGACAACATCATGGTCAAAATGAAGACAAACAACATCATGGTCAGAAGAAAGACAGACACCACCATGGACAGAAGAAAGACAGACAGACATCATGGTCAAGAGAAAGACAGACAACATCATGGTCAGAAGAAAGACACACCATCATGGACAAAAGAAAGACAGACAACATCATGGTCAAAAGGAAGATAGACAACATCATGATCAAAAGGAAGATAGACACCATCATGGTCAAAAGAAAGACAAACAACATCATGGTCAAAAGAAAGACAGACAGCATCATGGTCAAAAGGAAGATAGGCAACATCATGGTCAAAAGAAAGATAGGCAACATCATGGACAAAAGAAAGACAGACAACATCATGGTCAAAAGAAAGATAGACAGACATCATGGTCAAAAGGAAGACAGACAACATCATGGTCAAAAGAATGACAGACAGACATCATGGTCAAAAGAAAGACAGACAACATCATGAACAAAAGAAAGACAGACAACATCATGAACAAAAGAAAGACAGACACCATCATGGTCGAAAGGAAGACAGACAACATCATGGTCAAAAGGAAGATAGGCAACATCATGGTCAAAAGGAAGATAGGCAACATCATGGACAAAAGAAAGACAGACAACATCATGGTCAGAAGAAAGACACACCATCATGGACAAAAGAATGACAGACAGACATCATGGTCAGAAGAAAGACAGACACCATCATGGACAAAAGAAAGACAGACAGACATCATGGTCAAAAGAATGACAGACAGACATCATGGTCAAAAGAAAGACAGACAACATCATGAACAAAAGAAAGACAGACACCATCATGGTCGAAAGGAAGACAGACAACATCATGGTAAAAAGGAAGATAGGCAACATCATGGTCAAAAGGAAGATAGGCAACATCATGGACAAAAGAAAGACAGACAACATCATGGTCAAAAGAAAGATAGACAGACATCATGGTCAAAAGGAAGACAGACAGACATCATGGTCAAAAGGAAGACAAACAACATCATGGTCAAAAGGAAGATAGACAACATCATGGTCAAAAGGAAGACAGACAGACATCATGGACAAAAGAAAGACAGACAACATCATGGTCAAAAGAGAGACAGACAGACATCATGGTCAAAAGAAAGACAGACAACATCATGGTCAAAAGAAAGATAGACAGACATCATGGTCAAAAGGAAGACAGACAGACATCATGGTCAAAAAGAAGACAGACAGACAACATCATGGTCAAAAGAGAGACAGACAGACGTCATGGTCAAAAGGAAGACAGACAACATCATGGACGAAAGGAAGAAAGACAGACATCATCATGGACAAAAGGAAGACAGACAGACATCATGGTCAAAAGAAAGACAGACAGACAACATCATGGTCAAAAGAAAGACAGACACCCTCATGGACAAAAGAAAGACAGACAACATCATGGTCAAAAGAAAGATAGACAGACATCATGGTCAAAAGAAAGATAGACAACATCATGGTCAAAAGGAAGACTAACAACATCATGGTCAGAAGAAAGACAGACAACATCATGGTCAAAAGAAAGACAGACAACATCATGGTCAAAAGAAAGACAGACAACATCATGGTCAAAAGAAAGACGGACACCCTCATGGACAAAACAAAGACAGACAACATCATGGTCGAAAGAAAGACAAACAACATCATGGTCAAAAGGAAGAAAGACAACATCATGGTCAAAAGAAAGACAGACAACATCATGGTCAAAAAAGAAAGACAGACAACATCATGGTCAAAAGGAAGACAGACAGACATCATGGTCAAAAGAAAGACAGACAACATCATGGTCAAAAGAAAGACAGACAACATCATGGTCAAAAGAAAGACGGACACCCTCATGGACAAAACAAAGACAGACAACATCATGGTCGAAAGAAAGACAAACAACATCATGGTCAAAAGGAAGAAAGACAACATCATGGTCAAAAGAAAGACAGACAACATCATGGTCAAAAGAAAGACAGACAACATCATGGTCAAAAGAAAGACGGACAACATCATGGACAAAAGGAAGAAAGACAGATACCCTCATGGACAAAAGAAAGACAGGCAACATCATGGTCAAAAGAAAGATAGACATCATCATGGTCAAAAGAAAGACACACAACATCATGTTCAAAAGAAAGACAGACAACATCACGGTCAAAGAAAGACAAACAACATCATGGTCAACGAGTATTCTGAGAGTATTGCATGTCAATTTATAGTCCCCTACCGGTTAAAAGTCTATTGTACTTGAACAAAATGCTAACTTGATCTATAGCTTGTCATGGTGTAAACTTTATATCAAATATCAATTCAATATCTTCAACATGTTCAAGCATAACAAAACAAAAGTGTGGAAAACAGATTATTTGAGTGAACTTTCTAAGTCCAAGGACCATTACTCTGCCAAAGAAAATCATCCCAACTGAACCAAATTTGAACTTGATCTGTAACTTGTCATGGTAAAACTATATACCAAATCAATATCTTCAAGCATGTTGAAAAGTAATGTGGAAAACTGTTTACTTTCTTGATTTTTTAAAGTCCAAGGACCATAACTCTGCTCAAAATCATCAGACCGGAACAAAAGTTGAACTTGATCTGTAACTAGTCATGATAAAAGTATATACCAAATATCATATTAATATCTTTAAGAATGACAAAAAAAGTGCAGAAAACAGATAACTTGCGTGAATTTTTTAAGTCCAAGGACCATAACTCCGCACAGAATCATCAGACCGGAACAAAATTCGAACTTGATCTGTAACTAGTCATGATAAAAGTGTATACCAAATATCAAATCAATATCTTTAAGCATGACAAAAAAAGGGTAGAAAACTGATTATTTGCGTGAATTTTCTAGTCCAAGGACCATAACTCTTCCCAAAATCATCAGACCGAAACAAAATTTACACTTGATCTGTAACTAGTCATGATAAAACTATATACCAAACATCAAATCAATATCTTCAAGCAGGAAGAAAAAAAGTGTGGAAAACTGATTTGCCGGACTGACAGACAGGCAGAGTGCAAACCTAAAGTCCACTTCAACTTCGTCGGTAGGGGACTGAAAAAAAGAAAGACAACATCATGGTCAAAAGAAAGACAAACAACATCATGGTCAAAAGAATACAGACAACATCATGGTCAAAAGAAAGACAGACAACATCATGGTCAAAAGAAAGACAGACAACGTCTTGGTCAAAAGAAGACAGACAACATCATGGTCAAAAGAAAGACAGACAACGTCATGGTCAAAAGAAAGACAGACATCATCATGGTCAAAAGAAGACAGACAACATCATGGTCAAAAGAAGACAGACAACATCATGGTCAAAAGAAAGACAGACAACATCATGGTAAAAAAAAAAGACAGATAACATCATGGTGAAAAGGAAGAAAGACGGACAAAATCATGGTCAAAAGAAAGACAGACACCATCATGGTCAAAAGAAAGACAAACAGCATCATGGTCAAAAGGAATTACATAAATGGTACCAATTTTTCTGCACTAGATGCGCATTTTGACAATCAATGTTTCTTCAGTGATGCTCGAGGCCAAAATATTTGAAAATCCAAAGCTTGTTAAAAAGATGAAGAGCCAGAAATCAAAAAGGACAAAAACGTATAGCCAAAGACATCATGGTCAAAAGAAAGACAGACACTATCATAGTCAAAAGAAAGACAGACAACATCATGGTCAAAAGAAAGACAAACAGCATCATGGTCAAAAGAAGACAGACAACATCATGGTCAAAAAAAGACAGACAACATCATGGTGAAAAGAAAGACAGACAACATCATGGTCAAAAGGAAGAAAAACAGACAACATCATGGTCAAAAGAAAGACAGACAACATCATGGTCAAAAGAAAGACAAACAACATCATGGTCAAAAGGAAGAAAGACAGACAACATCATGGTCAAAAGAAAGACAGACAACATCATGGTCAAAAGAAAGACAGACATCATGGTCAAAAGGAAGACAGACAACATCATGGCCAAAAGGAAGATAGACAACATCATGGTCAAAAGAATGACAGACAGACATCATGGTCAAAAGAAAGACAGACAACATCATGGTCAAAAGAAAAGACAGACAACGTCATGGTCAAAAGAAAGACAGACATCATCATGGTCAAAAGAAGACAGACAACATCATGGTCAAAAGAAAGACAGACAACATCATGGTCAAAAGAAAGACAACGTCATGGTCAAAAGAAAGACAGACAACATCATGGTCAAAAGAAAGACAGACAACGTCATGGTCAAAAGAAAGACAGACATCACCATGGTAAAAAAAAAGACAGACATCACCATGGTCAAAAGAAAGACAGAGAACATCATGGTCAAAAGAAAGACAGACAACATCATGGTCAAAGAAAGACAAACAACAGACAACATCATGGTCAAAAGAAAGACAGACAACGTCATGGTCAAAAGAAAGACAGACATCATCATGGTCAAAAGAAAGACAGACAACATCATGGTCAAAAGAAAGACAGACAACATCATGGTCAAAAGAAAGACAGACAACGTCATGGTCAAAAGATAGACAGATAACATTATGGTGAAAAGGAAGAAAGACGGACAAAATCATGGTCAAAAGAAAGACAGACAACATCATGGTCAAAAGAAAGACAGACAACATCATGGTCAAAAGAAAGACAGACAACGTCATGGTCAAAAGAAAGACAGACATCATCATGGTCAAAAGAAAGACAGACAACATCATGGTCAAAAGAAAGAACATATTCTGACAGTTCTACCCTTGAACATATTCTGACAGTTCTATCCTAGAACATATTCTGACAGTTCTACCCAACATATTCTGACAGTTCTACCCTAGAACATATTCTGACAGTTCTACCCTAGAACATATTCTGACAGTTCTATCCTAGAACATATTCTGACAGTTCTACCCTAGAACATATTCTGACAGTTCTACCCTAGAACATATTCTGACAGTTCTACCCTAGAACATATTCTGATAGTTCTTCCCTAGAACATATTCTGACAGTTCTATCCTAGAACATATTCTGACAGTTCTACCCTAGAACATATTCTGACAGTTCTACCCTAGAACATATTCTGACAGTTCTACCCTAGAACATATTCTGACAGTTCTACCCTAGAACATATTCTGACAGTTCTATCCTAGAACATATTCTGACAGTTCTACCCTAGAACATATTCTGACAGTTCTACCCTAGAACATATTCTGACAGTTCTACATTAGAACATATTCTGACAGTTCTACCCTAGAACATATTCTGACAGTTCTACCCTAGAACATATTCTGATAGTTCTTCCCTAGAACATATTCTGACAGTTCTATCCTAGAACATATTCTGACAGTTCTACCCTAGAACATATTCTGACAGTTCTACCCTAGAACATATTCTGACAGTTCTACCCTAGAACATATTCTGATAGTTCTTCCCTAGAACATACTCTGGTATTTACTTAGATTCAATATTTTAATTGTCTCATCACTTGTAATGCATAAACAGTGTATACAAAGTATATACACAATATAAAATTAACAATCTACAAAGATATATAAAATTATAAGTGCCATTCTATTTAGCATTATGAGAGACTGTGAAATATATATTTCTCATTAACATCCTATATTACATAACATTGTATAAAACAACTTCGATCTAAGATACTGGTTTTACTGATTATCAAATAAAAGATTCATGGAAATGAGGCCAAGGTCATATGACGTTTTGATTTAATCATCTATTTGGTCATACCTGTCATTACCAACATTAAGTCGCTGATTTCTTAAAATAGATCTTGGAACTTTGGCATAAAGAGTGTGCTTACTTTCGTCTCCCTCACAATAAACGAAAATTTCTCCTGTAAAGAAAATAAATTCACGACTTCAAGCCAAGCAATGATTCTTAACATATATATCTAGCATGCATTTTTTTACTGTATAAGGTGATAGCTTTTTCCTGCATAAGATAAAAAAAGTTATTGAATAAGGTGATTAGTTTTTTTTACTGTATAAGGTGATTGATTTTTTTTCTATGTTGACGGATAGTTTTCAATGATAAAAAAAAACTATTAAATACTGTCGGCTAACTGCACATAAAGCATTGTAAAGTGTCAGATGTTTAGGGGTTTGAGATGTTATTTTCAGATGGTTTTACTTTATTCGCATTTAATATAGCAAGTTTGATTTTTTTAAACAGAACTGAGTGTATATAAAGAAAAGCCTGACTGTTAAATTAAACATAAGTAGCATAAATGCTAAACCAGGAGATTGGTGGACATTTTTGTATTCTATAAATCACAATCGCGACAACTGAAATTAAATAATAAATATTGGAACAAACAAGATTATACTATATTTTTAAGAAATATTAAACTTTATAAGGAAGTAGATTGTTCACAATGTCATCGTTTGATGAGAAAATAAGATCACGACTAAATGCATAGAATAAGACGTTTATATCACAGAAATAAGTTGTAAGTTATGACAAGGAACAATTTCTTTGATATAAGAGGGCTTATAAAAGTGCGTTTTAACATTTTTGTTTGTTTAATATCAACAAGACAAACATATTAACACCGGGAAAGTCCTTTCCTACTTCCACTTAATCGTAAATTAATGCGGACACAATTTAAGCTATTTCAATTCGTCCACTTCACTTACAAGTTACTTTTGTCTCCTCAAAAATAAAAAATCCCTCGTGCCCATCAAGTTACTTATCGTGGTTTTAAGTTATCGAAATGTTAAACTGCCTTAAAAATTATGTCGTCACCCAATTATCACTCTTAATGACGAACACGGATACTTCACATAAACAAAATGTTTTTATCTTTTTACCTATCGGCGAACACATCAATTATGAAATAAATGTACATTAATTGCTAACCTCAATACTTTTGACATGTTTTATACACGGTAGTCGTAAATACGACTGTATTATAACCTCATAACCTATCAATTCAGTACTGTTCAATTCATTTTGACTCTAAAATCTTCCAAACTAAACATTTTCATATTATTCAGTGGCATTATTTACGATTTTGGAGATGGTACTGTAGCCCAGGGCCAAGTGAGATCCTTGTGTTCCAAATATATTTCTCCAATACTATTATATAATGAACAGATAAATGCCCGACAATGAGTAAAGCAATATTTTTTTCGATATATAATAACTTAAATGATAACATAATTAAAATGAACCAACCTCGATAGCAAGGAACATATGGTTTAAGCTCCTCAGGGGTGCTGTTGTAAAAAATTCTTTCGGCTTCTTCACAAGGCTTGCAAATCAAATTATCAGTAATTTGCAGTACACATTTGTGTCCACCAACTTGATGCTGGAATGCATGGCAGGCGACCTTTTGTTCACATTCTTCTGCGAAAAATGGTTCCATTTGTCAACAAGAGTTATCTACCCACAATTCGCTGCAGTCGTGAATGTTAATCTTCTTGTAACAGTAAATCAATATTGTCAACTAAACAAACACACAACAATATTATTTATTGGTTGTATAAACCAGCTTGACCTAGTATATGTATTTATATATATTGACGGACATATCAGTCTGTAAGTGTATACAAGTAAATATAACACCTATATATATGTATGTATGAATGAGTGGATACGATAATCACCTGTTTCACTTATGATACACAAAGTAGTTGAGGCTCGTGATGTGAAGATTTCAGTACTGTACTGAAATAATCTTAAATATGTCTAAAATGTATCTCATGGGGATGAGAAATATACTAGATGCATATAATTTGACCTGTATGACCTGTATGACTGTCTTTATCTTTTTTTACGAATACAAATAATAAAATATGAATAAAACTTCTTGTTTACATTTACAATACTCGTAAATTGTAAGGAAATATAAACTTATTTGTACGAGCTTTAGAAACAGAGAGAAAAGCGAGGCTCTTCGAACTGAGTATTCTCTTGTTTTGTAGCTATTACAAATACATTTTATTTTTCCTACAATGTACAAATAGAATATTTGTCTTTTACAAATTAACTAGCATTTTACTTCCCAACTGTTAAATTTGTTTTTTATTGAAATCAACATGACGTAAACGCGGACCGCGATGAGGACCCCAAATTGAAAGGTGACGTAAACAGTAATTTTGATAATACCGTACGATCACAACCGAAACAGGATATCAAGGCCCGTATGCATAAACATCTTAACCTAAGTGTTCCTTAAACTTAGATTTCAGTATGAATTACTTTGGTTAAGTAAATTTCGTAAGTCGTATGCATAAAATTACTTATGTCTTCACTTAACTAAGGAATACTTAAATTTCACAATTTCCCAAATGTATGAAGAAAAAAATACGTTTTAATATGCATCAATTGCATACAAACTTATCCTATAGAATTTTACAGAGATATATGTACATATAAAATAGCAACATATGTTAACTGGAAAAGACTATACCATTTTCCAATCAGTAAACCTTTTGTCTTTTTTGTTTATATAACCATTTCATAATTGCGGTAATTAAAAGTGGGCAAACCAGGATGTAATCGTCGTTAATTACCCTTGTAGTTAGTTGGTCCTTTCAGTCAGCGCTGGTTGCAGTTTCAGGAAAAAATACGAAGAAAATTGCATTCATGGCCATTATGTGTAAGAATATACAAAAGTACAACAAATGTAATTATTAAACAGTAAGTTGGTGAGCGATGGGTCAGAAATCACATAACACGGTAAAGCATGCTCACATTAAATTTCACTTCAAATTCCAGAAAGAGTCTGGTGTGTAGAAAAATGCGACGAAAATTTCATGGGATGGACTTAATCACAAACGGATTGGAAGATGTAAAGAGGTATACATCCCCTTTCTGAAAAAGGTTAAAGTCAAAAAGATAAAATTCGTTTAGGATTGATACAAATATTTACAAGTGTTATCAAAAATATGAAACATAAAAGATATTAGCTAAAATTATGCAAACAAGCCTTAATTTGAAATGCACTTATAAATTGATATCTTTCCAAGAATTGCCCATGAAAGCGCTTATTTCCAATGAGGTCCTCTTGATGTATAGCTTTAATTAACGAAGAACAAAATAAAAAAATTAAAAAATTCACAAATTTAGGTTTTTTTTTCTTTTATGTGCTCATTCTTTTAATTTTCATGCACACGAAATTGTTATGTGTAAGTATTTTGTAAAATAAGGGGTAAACATTTTTGTTTCAATGAGAGACACATGTTGGTGCAACCACGAACAAACGAAAAGAAGCGATCTTATGATCACAGAGATGAAAGTTATAGTGTTGCACAGAACTTTTGCTTACGGACACCGCAGACATAGCAAAACAATATTCTGTCTTTATTTTGTTGTGCACCTAAAAATTGGTTACATCGCACATAGGTTCATTTTAATGACATACTCTTGTGACGTCCAAAAATCAAGACATCCAAACCTAACCAGGATTCAAAATAAAGAGTTTCCGGTTGAAATTTCGACAGAAAAGATAACCCTTGAATTAAAATTTATTGAATTAAAAAAATGTGTTCCATAAATCAAAACATATATAGGAAAGAATGAAAAATGCTCCTACACGGTTATTCAAGCGGTAACATGATGTAACCTAACGGTACAGCCACTCATTTTCACAACAAATTTTCCGAGAAAAAAAATACTCGCAAGTCATGAACATTTCAGTTTAAACTACGATCATTTTTGTCATAAGATTTTCCATGAAAAGATCCCCAGAAGCGTGTGTCTATGATCTATGACAAGATTTAAAAGGAGGAATTCCCTTACCTTCCAACAATCATAGAACATAAGCTTTAACCAATTCTCTTATTTGCAAAGATATTAAGTTAATGTTTGAAATATTTTCCATATATTGAGAAATGCACAGTTTTGTTCTCCCGCGAGAGAGAGAGAGAGAGAGAGAGAGAGAGGGGGGGGGGGGGGTAATATATAAAACTAGAGGCTCTAAAGAGCCTGTGTCGCTCACCTTGGTCTATATATATGTGCATATTCAACAAAGGACACTCTACAACATCGAAGACAAGAATAGAATTCATAAGAAAAATCTCTGCTTTGTTGATCTTGTATTGCTGATCATTTAGTCTGTTTAGTTTCTCCCTAGCTTCTTTAGTTTTTGCTCAAAACACAAAAGAGGGTAAAATAAATCCTTATTTAAGGGGCTGGGCAATTTTTGTCATGTTAACTTATTTGTTAATCTTACTTTGCTGAACAATTTTGCTGTTTACAGTTTATCTCTATCTATTATAATATTCAAGATAATAACCAAAAACTGCAAAATTTCCTTAAAATTACAAATTCAGAGGCAGCAACCCAACAAAGGGTAGTCTGATGCGTCTGAAGAGCAGATAGATCATGACCTGATGAACATTTTTACCCCATGTCAGATTTGCTCTAAATGCTTTAGTTTCAGAGATATAAGCCAAAAACTGCATTTTACCCCCATGTTCTATTTTTAGCCATGGCGGCCATCTTGGTTGATGGGCGGGGTCGTCGGATACATTTTTAAAACTAGATACCCTAAGGATGTTTTATGCCAAGTTTGGTTTTATTTGGCCTAGTAGTGGACGACGACGACGGACGCCAAGTGATGAGAAAAGCTCACGTGGCCCTTTTGGGCCAGGTGAGCTAAGAAACGAAACTGTCTACCCATCCAAATTTGTAGATGTCAAATCTTGGAAAAATGTAAAGTATTCGTCTCATAATATCCATTGTGAAAACAACGTAATAGGTGGACATAACTGATGAACGTTTACCTGATCTGACCCAGCCAATGAGTGGACATGTCCACGATGTTATGGCTGTGATAATATACAATATTGGAATTGTCACATGGTCATAGTCGATCAACTATTATTGTGTAACAGGAGTAATCGTGTCTGTTTATCTGATTTAATTCCCATGGCTTGTTCCCCTTTGTCTTTCCATGGAATATTAGGTTTGTATCTTACACTTCTGTAGTCCAACTCAAATAAAAAGAAGGAAATGGTTGTATATTATAACTTACCCATAAGTCGGACACCTTTTACTCTGCATCGCTCGTTGTAACTTACCTGGACCGGAAGAGTATTTTCACAAGTTCGAAATTCCTCAGAAGTAAATAAATTTTCCAGATACCAATTAGTTCCTGATAACGTATTTGATTGCTGTTCTGAATTAGCTTTTTAAAAGACGGACACTTTGGCCTTCGAGTCGGACACCATGTCGAAAAAACGGACTTACTAGTATATCATAAATAAGTGTATTTAAATAACTTTCAACTAGAACATCATAAATAAGTGTATTTAAATATCTTTCAACTAGAACATCATAAATAAGTGTATTTAAATAACTTTTAACAAGTATAAATTATCATTAATAAGTGTAATTAAATAAATTTTAACTAGTATAAATTATCATTAATAAGTGTAATTAAATAACTTTTAACTAGTATAAATTATCATTAAAAAGTGTAATTAAATAACTTTTAACTAGTATAAATTATCATTAATAAGTGTAATTAAATAACTTTTAACTAGTATAAATTATCATTAATAAGTGTACTTAAATAACTTTTAACTAGTATAAATTATCATTAAAAAGTGTAATTAAATAACTTTTAACTAGTATAAATTATCATTAATAAGTGTAATTAAATAACTTTTAACTAGTAATTAAACAACTTTTAACTAGTATAAATTATCATTAATAAGTGTAATTAAATATTTTTTATTTTTTTTTTATAATTTTTTTTTTATTCATCATGGATTGACAGGCATTTACATATATTATCTATAGTGGCACATAATAAAGCAAGCAAGAAAAATAAGCATAATCAAGCAAATAAGAGTAAACAAAATTAGTAATAATAATACCATATAATATCACAGAATACAATATATATATGGACAAAGTATAACATTTTCATCAAATAATATAGTGATACATAATAATTCACTATTAAATTAATTAATGACTTTATCCCAGGGGTTCCAGTACATGTTATAATCTTTCGCACTCATATTTTTTGAGGAAATATGCTTTTCTAAAATTAAGTTTTCTTTGATATAGTTTTTAAGTCCCTCAATATGGGGTTTTTCCTCTTGCATCTTAGATCTGTAAATGAAATATTTTACTAGTAAAATAACTTTATTCTTTATAAAATTTAGTATATAGTTATCATAAAGACCAAACATGACTATACCCATATTTAGTGGAATTTCAATATGTGTTGTTTCAAAAATCCAAGCATTCAGATGGTGCCAAATATCTGCTACAATATGACAGCCCCATAATAAGTGTTCTATGCTTTCTGGTTCTTCCTTGCAAAATGTACATAAATTACACTGTACAAGGTTCATTTTCTAAAGTAAAGTATTAGTACCTAAAATACGGTGAATAATTCGGTATTGAAACCAACAGAGCTTGGTATTTTTTAAATTTTAGTGACATAATTATGGATTTTTTTCCAATCTCCTACAACGTTATTCAATATACCTTCCCATTTTCGCTCAGCTGCAATAACAACTGGTATTTCACCTTGGTTTAAAATATTATACATGTCTTTTGAACCTTTGTTTGACTTGAAAAAAATGTTAATATTAAAGGGTAACAAAGCTTGTTGTTTTTTTTCCCTTTCAGTGTTGATTCCCATAGATTGTAACCATTTTTTTAATGCTACTTTAATACCATAAAATTGTAAAAATGTGGGTTTAAAAGTATATAGCCGTTCAAAATTTTGATAGGACAATATATTTCCTTGCTCATCTAGAAGGTCATTCACAGTCCATACCCCGTTTTGTGCCCAACTTCTATAATAAACAATGGCGTTATCAATTTTAATGTTCTCATTATTCCATATAGATGAAGATATGACTTCCTCAAAGTAGCGAGGATGTCGGAGTCTCGACAAATTTTTCCAGGTACAAATAACTTCTTTCCAAAAAACGTTATCTAATTTTTTAGTTGTTCCAAAATAAGCCAACTCTGTAAAATTTATATTTTGTGTAGCAGTAAATAATCTTCTAACCCAGGTCAATTTTAGCCCTTGTATAAAATTTCTCAAATTAATCATTTTTAAACCACCTCTGCAGTATTCTTGACATAAAAGCTCCCGATTTACCTTGTCGGGTTTACCATCCCAAATGAAAGCATAAATTTTACTATTGAGTTGTCGTAGTACATTTTCATCTGGACTTGGGATGGATAAGAACAGATGATTCAATTTTGATATGATTAAAGATTTTATAATAGTTATTTTACCAAATGGAGTAAGCGACTGTTTTGACCATTTTTGTATAATATTTTCTATTTCTTGAA